ACAGAAATATATATATTAAATATTCCCATAGGAAAATTTAGATCAACACATTTAAGCGAACAATATTGTTGTTTCCAATTAGATTTCATCAGGCTTAACTCTAATATACACACATAACTTTACAAATAAGAATTCAAATATAAACCAATCATGGTGTTTTTCTGTAGGATAATAAGATGGTGATTATAAATTGTGCAATTTGTCATAATAATAATAGTTTTATCAATCAAAGAAAGAAGGAAATCGCAACACATTCGCCACTGATTATGATTCTTGGCCATATCCGATAACGTTTCGAGCCATCGATTTGAGCTATCTCTCGAACCCCAACCAGGGAGTCGTGACACACCAACCGATGCTAATCTAGCACAAAAATCCTTCATCCCACGACGCCACGTCATGGACTGACCACCTCTCCGCCTTTTCCATCCCGTCCCAGGGCTGGCCAGCGAACAGAGACCTGTACGGAAGCCTCTGGGGTGACATTCGGAGCACATGTCCAAGCCACCGGAGCCGGTGTTTCTAGATGACGACACTCAATGAGTGGTGATCTCCACTTTGTTCAAACACACGCCGCCGAACCTCAGAATTACTCACGCGATGATGCCATCGAACGCAAGCAATCCTGCGGAGACAGCGGCGATCGAACACGCAGAGTCGCCGCACATCCTCAGCCTACTCGGAGAGGCCAGGTTTCACAGGCGTAGAGCAGCGCAGCCCACACCGAAGCATTGTATACCCGACCTTTGACAACCAGGCTAACGTCGCGACGGCGCCATAGGTGGCTCAACTTGATGTATGCCACCCTAGCCTTCATTATACGGTTGGAAATCTCATCCGTCACCCCTCTCTCCGCCAGCACTCACACAACTACCCAGGTACACAAACTTATCAACAACTTCAAGCGGTTCACCCGCAAGAGTGAGTGCAGGTACAGGCTCCTGCCAATCTTGTAACAGTACTTTGCACTTAGACGGCGCAAAGCACATACCATACTTACAGACACTGAGAAGTCATCAGTTGGTTATGTCTTAATAGGCCAACAAGAGAGAGTTAATGGCTGTACCAACTTCTTTTGAATGCATAGTTTAGGTTTAATATTTCGAATACCTATCGCCTCAGCTATGCGCAGTAGACAAATACGAAGTCTATTGGAAAGATTCGGTGGGATACGATGGGTTACTTTGAAAGCTCTCGTTTTCTCCACTACATGACCACTATCAATTAAATGTGATAAAATTGAGCTACGGATTGTATTTGTCTGTCCTGTGCCAAACCACGATGTTGGGAGATGTTCACTAACACGTTGGCTAAGCTGTCTAGTAGCACGCTCAACATAACTGTCACCGCAGGTGCGGCTGAATTGATAAATGCACATAGATGTGGCAAAACTATCTAGCTATCTATCCTTCGTTTGCGTCCCAATCATCCGTCTGCTGGAGAATGACAAACACAGGTATGCTGCGTAAAACCTTCTCCGTATACTCCTGGAAAATCTCTGGAACAAAACCTCACTTGACAAGTCACCACTAAATCGTAACTTAATAAATAGAGGCTTTTTACGTGCAGTTAGAGTCTCAGGTTTTCTCTCTGATGTTCTCATATATATACATATATGATAGGTTAGAAGTAAGTAAGCTAACGTTGCAAAATTATTCATTGGTAACAGAATGGTTAAGATATATATTGAAAAGTGGTGAAAAACAAAACTTTTATCCCACTGAGGCCTATAGAAGACAAATCAAAAAGTAAACAATCACCTATTTATCTGTTTTTGAAAAAAATGTTCACTAGTGAGTCATAGTTAATGGAATACTGTGGTGAGGACTGTCTGCTAGCCAAAATCGGTAGAGAGTCATTTACGCCAACGTGTACGTCCCCAACATTGGTCATGAGAAAAGAACAAGAACAAAGACTGACTCAACAACCACAGAAGAATTTGCGTAGGCGGATACAATTTGCAGATAGCTGATGATCTGAACTTCAAGAAACGGCCACAAACAGATGAAAGATTAACGTTCAGCGAGAAACAACCACCAATCAGAAGCCTGTGTTTGTCTGTTAACAATAATCTATAATAATCTACATGAAAATCGAAAGGTATATCTGTTGATTTACCAAATAAACGATCTTTTGCCTGGTCCTTGTCTTCTGTCGTTACAATACTACCTTAGAACTTTGAGGTGGAGAAAAGACTGCACTGTTAGTACTACAATGAATATTTACTTACTAACGTGAAATATATTCGATTCTAAGATTAACAATCTAAAACCAAGCATCTTGGTCGGCACACAAAAGTAGCGATTGTTGATAGTCCATACAATTAATGCTATTAGATTGTTGGAGGCAATCGGCCAGAGGAAGCCTTTCCCGGACCTAGGTTTCGTGCTATTCGGCACTCATCAGTCAGCAACACGTATCTGCAACCATGTTGAAGGAACTCATATCCCACCCATCTGAGATTTGAACCCGCGTCACCCAGTGCTGCAGCTATTCGGGCTGGCGATTGACCTCCTGTATGACTGTAGTGGCTATTTTGATTTGACACTAGTAACTAGCTCAATGCAGTACTCACTGGGTGACACGGGTTCCAATCTCCTCAAAAGGGACATGAGTTCCTTCAATGTGGTTGCAGATACGACTTGCTGACTGGCGAGTCCCAACTAGCACGAAACCTAGGTCCAGGGAAGGCTTCCTCTGGCCGACTGCCTCCAACTATCTAATATCATCAAATCAATGTGTACACCGTGATGGTGAGCTACTTAGTGGAATGGTGGCCACACTGGAAACCTGACTGACTGATAGAATCCAGTCCGCACCAAAGAAACGACTAGACACGTCGTCACACTAGTTACTAGTGTCAAATCAAAATATACAATTAATGCATTGTGCAAAATCATGAGTGTGTAATGTGAGAAAATTATATGCATCTAACTCTCCGTTAATTTACAGTGCAATAAAAAATAATTTATAAAAACTCACTGCAAAAACTCAGCAACTAAAGCTTCTAGCATAGGCAAACTATCATCATCGACTCGGACGAATGAAACCATGTCTCGGAGTTTAACTATAAACAGAAAAAAGTTTCAAAAGACAGACATTTTTAGGTTCAATTCACATGAATTGTTGTATGTATGAGCTTGAAAACTATGTACGTATCTGTTATTTGCCGATTAGCGATCTACGAATGTTTCGCATGCGATTCGCTCCCGCCAAATGCAAGATGATGTTACAGAACTGACCGGACTACGCTGACTCCTAGTTTAGAAATAGGAAGTGAAGTGGTAGAGCACGTTGACCACTTCACTTATTTGGGAAGTACCACCAGCCAACGCCAACGGGTTGATCTCTGACGAGATCTCATCACGGATACAGAGAGTTAGTTTCTCATATCCCAGTTTACCCCATCTCTGGCGTAGACGTGATATCCGCCTACCTGTCGACCAAAGGGTGGGTGTACTGCTCATCAGTCCGCTCCGTCCTCCCTTTATGGCTGGCTGTGAGACCTGGCCATTGAGAGTGGAAGACATGAAAAGCCTAGCTAGCTGTCTTCGATCATAGGTGCCTGCGCTCTATCTCCCGTGTGAAGTGGTATAATAAGGTGAGCAATATTGAGGTTAGGCGTCGGTCGAGTGTTAGGTAAGGTGGGAGGGGGAAATCAGTCGACGAGGCTGTGAAGCTACATCGACTGAGATGGTTAGGAAATGTGTTACGCATGCATGCGTAGTCATCCATTGCCTTCCTCGACTACGGGGTAATGTTAGCTGACATAGGGTCAGGCTGGAAAAGAGCTAGCGGCCGTCAAACCAAAACATGGCCCCAGTCAATGAAATCCACAACAATTAGCTTAAGCCAGCCACGTAGGAAGGTGTAGACTGCTGTCTGGTTGGGGTCCTCGGGACGGTATAAACCAATGAAGGCTGGAGACAATTGATGATATGGCTCAAAATCAATGCTTTAAAATGCTTTTTGCAATACTTGCAACAGTCACACCATACTTAGCCATTGTAATAATAACAATTCTATCAACAAACCGTCTAGAAACAGTTAGAATGTATTTTACTTTTAACTTATACCTTTGATAAAGAGAAAATGTTCAGCGGAGAGACTCTTTTCGCCGGCGAATTCATTCACATAGCTAGCTGTAAAATCATGTATATATATATATATATTGTCGGTGTTGTCTTGCGCATATTTGACATGCATGTCGTCATTATCATTATTATTATTATCATCATCACTATCACTACTATCATTATTTATTTTATTTCTACATTTCCCTACATACTTTCTGACTAATATATCAGGGTAATTATTAAGTTTCAAGGCCTCTCTTATATGTCTCACTTCCTGTCATAGATTTTCCTTGGTACTACTTAGTTTTTGTGCTCTGTTGTCACTTAAACATTTCACCAATCCTATTTTTACTGACATAGGATGGAATGATCGGAAGTCCAAATATCTGTGGGTTTTCTGTAAACACACTAGCGTGTTTAACTTCCCATCTTCTTTTCTTTTTACACTATAATCTAATATTGGCAGTTCCCCTTACTGACTATGCAATTCATCATAAGTCAAATGAATTGCCTCCACCTTTGAGTTAATGTGTTCGAAAAATCTATCTATATCCTCTGTTCTTAGTACAGTGAATGTGTCATCTACATACCTCCACCATACTTTTGGTGTGGCAAATAAGTGTAATAGCAATGATTCAACACCTGTCCACCCAGATATCTGGAAAATTCTATTACCCCAATGACGACAAATAGGAGAGAAAAAAGAACACCATAAATCTCTAGTTTCAAAGTCGTGTGATTATAATTGATGATATGATTATGAACAATAAGTAAATTGTGTTCGAAACTTTGTCATCCAGCAGATACTAATACTGTTTCTGTGACTGTGTGACACATCTAATAAGCAAACTAATATGGAATTACTTACTACCACCACAATGCCCAAGTTTTACACATCATAAAGGAGGGAACATTAAGACTTACCAAACAACCTCAACAAGTGAATTGACCCATAAATGTCTGACATTCTCTTGCCTGTATGCTGTTTCAATAGCTTAGCGTATTGTAATCTCTCGAATTTGTATAAAAGATGAGAACCAATAGTATGATTGAAAAGATACTGAATTCCATAAACAAATTCACGCCGTACACCCGGGTCTATTGGTACGTTAGTGCTCAGTTGAGTGTTCTCAGATTCAGAAGAAGTATAGTTGTTTATTTCACGAGTTGATTCCGATTTAATCATTTCCGCCTCAGAACTTTCTAAGAAATCTGATAAAATATTACATATTGGCTGAGAAGCAGGCAGTTCATAAAGCTGTGAAAATTTAACCGAAGAATAAAAATTCAGGAAACAAAAAGAAAAATATGAAGTGAGATTTACTCTATAACAGTAGTAGTGACACTACAATTTATCACACAAAAAACAAAATTACGCTGAGAACAATAAATCTTAACTAGGGGTATCGAGTATTTAATTGGTGGATGGTGACTAGCAGGAGAATTGAGAACTCATTCCACTGACTCAGCACGAAACTCAATCATTTGTAAAAAAAAATTATATTTGTAAAATCTCAGCGAGATGGAAATCAGTAATTCCAACGTTTCCTGCCTTCGTCGAAATCTAGTCCGAACTTCTTCACGGAAATTAATCGAAATTAACATAACAGAGGTGATTTATATGCATGAAAGGGGGACATCTGTTGTTTTCAAAAACTATTTCCAATCATATGAGTCATGAAACAGGTATCAACATGTATAATCAACAGAAAATTGAATGAGTTGTGATCAAAATTTCACCTTAGACCTCTTATAAATATTGGTCTACCTTTCTTAAACACTTTAAACAGAGTGTGTGTGTGTGTGTGGGTAAATGGTTGTAAGACATTTCTTAACGGCTCCATAAGAAGATATAGACAATCGGGAATTTTGACCAAGTATTATTAATTAATTAGTGATACATATCCAATTTCTATTTATTTATTAATCAGGATTTCCTATGTATCATTAGCTAACACACATCACACCTTCATGTCTGTTCAAACTGTTAGTAGCTAGAATTTTATGATTAGATGTATTTTCAAAGTTATGGTGTTTAGGATTAGAGTTTAGTTGAAGCACCCTGTCGAACTTATTGCTTTGTCTTCTTTCTGAAAATTGAGCTGCTTTATTTGACCTACTGGAGTTGTCAGGTGACTCGACAGCAAGAGAAGAAAGTAGAAGAAATGCATAATAGAGACAGTAAACAGAGGTGTGAGACAAAGGAATAGTAATAACGAAGAACGATATAGTTTCATCATAAGTCAGAAGGAGTGGATGCATCTGCGCTAGCCATCACCGAGAACGATTTTGAGCCATATCATCAATTGTCTCCAGCCTTCATTGGTTTATACCGTCCCGAGGACCCCAACCAGACAGCAGTCTACACCTTCCTACGTGGCTGGCTTAAGCTAATTGTTGTGGATTTCATTGACTGGGGCCATGTTTTGGTTTGACGGCCGCTAGCTCTTTTCCAGCCTGACCCTATGTCAGCTAACATTACCCCGTAGTCGAGGAAGGCAATGGATGACTACGCATGCATGCGTAACACATTTCCTAACCATCTCAGTCGATGTAGCTTCACAGCCTCGTCGACTGATTTCCCCCTCCCACCTTACCTAACACTCGACCGACGCCTAACCTCAATATTGCTCACCTTATTATACCACTTCACACGGGAGATAGAGCGCAGGCACCTATGATCGAAGACAGCTAGCTAGGCTTTTCATGTCTTCCACTCTCAATGGCCAGGTCTCACAGCCAGCCATAAAGGGAGGACGGAGCGGACTGATGAGCAGTACACCCACCCTTTGGTCGACAGGTAGGCGGATATCACGTCTACGCCAGAGATGGGGTAAACTGGGATATGAGAAACTAACTCTCTGTATCCGTGATGAGATCTCGTCAGAGATCAACCCGTTGGCGTTGGCTGGTGGTACTTCCCAAATAAGTGAAGTGGTCAACGTGCTCTACCACTTCACTTCCTATTTCTAAACTAGGAGTCAGCGTAGTCCGGTCAGTTCTGTAACATCATCTTGCATTTGGCGGGAGCGAATCGCATGCCAATCATTCAAAGACTGCAGCTCAAGGAGTTCAGAAGACTGCATTTTGTCAGCGTCCTCGCCTAGAAGGACTATATCGTCTGCATATTCTAAGTCAACGAGATTGTTCCCTGGTAGCGAGTCAATCCCTGAGTCTCTAAAGTGAGTTAGGTTTAAGTCAATTAGTACATCTATGATGAAATTGAATAAAAGTGGGGATAGTGGGCATCACTGATGGACACCACTAATCGTCACCACTTCAGGTGACAACTCATCGTAAGCCCTCACCTGGCTGACTGCATGAGTTCGAGTAGAGTGCCTTAATGAGTGCAATGTATTTTCTCGGAATTCCCTTTACAGCAACGCAACGCTAAAGTACCTCTCATTCGACAGAATCGAATTCCGCCTTCAGGTCAAGAAATATAGCGATTGTTGGACGCCGCCGGTAAGAATGCCTATGTTCTAGAATCTGTGGGAGGGTGAAGATATGATCAATACACCCTCTCCCTGGTCTAAAGCCTGCCTGGCTCCCTCGTGTTTGTGCCTCCTGAGCACCACTTAGTCTACGCATGATTATTGAGCCTAGAACTTATATTAGGACTATATTAGTCAAGCTAATCCTTCTGCGATTATCACAGGAAGACTTGTTTCCCTTCTTGTATATGGGGATAATCAGTGACTTACACCAACCTGACGGGACTTTCTCTGATTCCCAGACGCTGCCTTAGTACCTCAGTTAATCCAGACAGTAAACTTTCTCCACCGTACTTAAATACCTCTGGAGTCATTCCATCAGGTCCTGCTGCTTTGCCTTGTTTCAGACTAGTGACAGCTTTAGTTACCTCAGTTAAGGACGGAGGGTCTGTGCCTATATCCCATTCAGGAAGGTGTTGGATAGTCGGCAGGTTGAGCGTGGCTGTAGCCCAATTAGACTGCTCCGCATAGTGTTCTTTCTAGCGTTCTAGTCGTCAATCAGATTGTTTCACTTATCATTTGCCTTTTACCACCTGTTTCCCTGATAAGCCTAAACAGTTGTCTGGTGTTACCGATTGCCGATACCTTTTCCATCTCTTTTGCTTTTGTCGCCCGCCACTGTTCACGGTCATTGCGAAGACTTCGTGTTAGTTTTTGTTTGAGTAGCTTTCGCTCCTCATCATAAACGGAGCTCGCCAGAATCAGTCTTCTTGCGTCAATCAGTTCGGATGAGGCAGCAGATATCCAATGGCTCTTACTAACTTTTGGTTTTAGCTTATTAACAGCTTTGACCGCTGTGTCTACAGCTAACCGTATGTTGTGCCAGGCCACATCAGGGGAAGTCCTGCTGTCGACCTCAGATACTCGTTTCGCTATTTATTCCTTAAATAGGGACTCAGTGTCTCGATCTAGTTGGGGACGTAACTGTTTCGCTGACGTCAATTTTTTATGTCCGTTTAGTCGTAAGCATAAACGTCCGCGAACCAGAGCGTGATCAGAGTCTACACACGTGTCCCAGAAGGAGTGGCAGTCTCCTACTGACCCTCGACAACGATACCTTATCACTATGTGGTCTATCTGATTCCAAAGTTGATTTGGTGATGGGGGTCGCCAGCTTACACAATGTCTCTCTTTGTGCCTAAAGTTTGTGCTGACTAGGAACAGATGATTATCTGAGAAAAACTGTAGAAGACGATCACTGTTGTCGGTCCGTCGGCAGGGAACTTCATACGTACCACCTACATACTTCTCAGTCTGGAACAACTTCCCTACTTCGGCACTTAAGTCGCCTGCTAAAACAACTATGTCTAAACGTTTTGCTTTTCGCAGGAAATTAGACAGTTTCAGGTAGAAATCATCCTTTAGTTTATCCGAACTGCAGTCTATCGGGGCGTAGGCGGAGACTACGAAAAGGCAACGACGGGTAGCACCGTCTTTCCCTCTTTTAACGGACCCATTCAGACGGATCGCACACATACGACTATCTACTGGGATCCAGTCAAGAAGTGATTTTTCCGCCCTAACACTCAGTGCTATCCTTAACCCCTGCGAGTTCTCGCGAGCTAGCTGAGGGGTAAGGACTAAAGGACAGAATATTGATCAACGGATTATATGTCACATTATGATGTTTATGTTAGCCGGAGATGAAATGTCCTTCTTAACGCGTTTATATTCATATTTTCTGACATCACTTTGCTTACTATATATATATATATATGGACAACCAGAGAGAGCTTTTGAGTTATGCCACTTCAACATATCAATGAAATTTCTTGCATAACTTTGAAGTCTATGTGCAGGTTTTACACAAGTGTGTATTACTTGAAGAAAAACCCACAACACTGACCTGTTGTGTTGTTTGATAACAAAATAGATTCAGAAAATCGCTAATTCTTAGGCGATAACTGTGAACACTTAATGTGCATCTCACACTCTGTATTGTGTGAGGAAAATTGATAGACACCCCCACCCCCGCTCACCTTTGGTAATGAATGAGTTACTGAAGGTAGAGAATCTGTATATATCTTTGAATAAGTCACTTAGAAGACAAATTTCGCGAGATGATATCAGAAAAGACACCTTCTGTACCAAAGAAAGTTATCTTTATTAACCTAGCATTCAAGGGTGACCACATTATGCAGTTGTGTTACAGCTAGCTCAAAGACTTCGGTCAACCATCAAACGCACATTCTACGCCGAATCTCCTCTTCTCACATGCCGAACATTTTCGATCCCTTTACCTACGATTAAAGGATGAAATTCTGTGGACTCTACTTCAAACTGTATCTACAAGTTCACTTGCAGCTGCGGTGACACCTATATAGGTAAAACCAATAGAATGTGCCAATATCGTCGAAAAGAACGTGTTCCAAAATGGTTACTAAAACACATAGATAATCCCAATGCAATTAATCTAAGTAGAAGTCCAGCATCAACCATCGATTGCAAAACACTTATTAATGTCAGGTCACAAAATCAATCAATATTATTGACTGTTTCACAATTATTTCACCACAAAACTCTATTTCAAGGTTGGTTATTGAAGGTGATGGAAGCACCTTGGAGAATTAATCACATACAGCCTAAACTGTGTGTACAAAAAGCAATAGACTTCAATCTTCGCCTACCATGGACTGACTACTTGACCTATTAAAATATCATTGATCATTAGCATGGCATGTACTACTTTTGTTTTTTATATAACTGAGTAATTGTCATGATTTTTACGAGTTGATCACGGATTGATATCAGTTAGAGAAGCATTGAAAACCAGGGAGTACTGGACAGCGGCTGTTTCATCCTAGTTTGGGAATCATCGGCAGAACGCACCCCGGGTTCTGGGCTCGAATCCCACTGGGTGCGTACTGCCGATGATCCTCAAACTAGGATGAAACAGCAGCTGTCTAGTACTCCCTGGTTTACAGTGCTTCTCTAACTGATATCAATCCGTGATCAACTCGTAAAAATATGAACTTTATTTTATTTTAATGTTATTGTTAACCATGTTAGTTGTGTAAAGCGGTTGTAAAGAAACTACGAAATGACGATATCATCTCGCGGCGAAATTTGTCTCCTTAATGCCTCATCCAAATGATAACTTATTGTTCGTTATGGACGTCATCACAGGATTTTGAAACTTAGGCAGATTTCCCGCTTGAAATTCAAGCCTTTATGACGTCGTTAAGGTAGTTAGAATATCTAGAATAACATACATCAGTTAGTGTTTACAATAAAATTGCCAGTATATCATGTCAGGTGTTCATAAAGTGTGAAATCTGGAGTGAAGTATGATGATTCAGGTCATTGAGGCTTTTTACGAATTGATCACAGATTGACATCAATGAGGAGTTAGAGAAGCATTGAAAACCAGCCGCAGGAAGTACTGGGAAGCTGTTTCATCAGCCTAATTTGGGAATCACAGGCAGCACGCACCCACTGCAACTGGATTCGTAGTTTCAACTCATCGAAGTGCAACAATGAGCAAACACTCAGGGTGAGACCATTCCTGATCACCCGGAACCCGGGGCTAGGGTACATACTGTAACATCCAAGTGACTAAATTGGTCACTAAATTAACAAATTACGACCAATGCTCAAACATTGGAAATTGCTTTGCTGATAACTGGATGATAATGCAACTGAATATTACTACTTACCCGAGCTTGTTGAGTAATCAAATCCCAGTCATCTGTAAGCCAAGATTTCAAGCATGGAGGCAGTGAAATCGACAAACGCGGCTGAGAGAGAAGGCCATCTTCCTGATATGAAAAACAGTGAAATATAACAGTAAAGTTGAGAGTATGAACACTTACATACCTAACTACATATAAATACAAACTATTCAATTAAGCAGAGGGACATTTAACGTACAAGTAAACACGAGCATATTTACATCCTGAAATAGGTGAACATGCAATAGTTAGTATCTAACTACCAGCCTGTAAGTCTGACCCGGATTATAGCAAAGGTATCAGAAACAACCATAAGGGATCAGCTCTTAGCTCATATGCAGAAACATGGCTTACTGGAGGCGGAACAGCATGGATTCCGACCAGTACAATCCTGTCTCACAAATCCACTATTAGCTAGGGAAGATAGCGTCTAAGTCATGGATAAGAACCATCTTTTAGATGTTGTCTTCAACGGTCGTAGTAAAGCATTTGACAAGGTAATCCCATTTACATCACCTCAGTAAACTAAAAGTTTTTGGAATAAACCAACACGCCTACGCCAGTGGTTTGAGGACTACCTGAGGGATAGAAGGCAGAAGGTGAGAGTTAGTGGTTTACTGTGAGGGTGAAAAGCAGTACTAAGTGGAGTATCTCAGGTGACTGTGCTTGGCCTCCTGCTATTCATACTATTCGTAAATGAACTACCGAAAATTCTTAAATCTTTATTATTTGAGGACGATATTAAGATGTGGGAAGCTGTAAATAATAACAATGACAGGTTGGCATTACACAACGATCTGGATAAATTAGCTGGAAATTAATTCCAAGAAAAGTGCGGTAATGCACCTAGGTCAGAGGTCTTACACATCGTACCCTCTGGGGGACAAAGAACTGCCAGATGTTAAGGGACAAAAGGACTTAGGAATTATTGTAAGCCATGACGCAAAAACAACCGCAAATTGTAATCGAGCCGCAGCTAAGACTAGAATGCTATAAGTACTTTGAAGGGCTTTAAAACGATTAAACGAGTCTTTGTTCTAAGTACTCTATGCAACATATGTCACGCCTCAACTAGAATACTGCATACAAGCGGTGAGTTCATGCTTCAAAAAGGAGGCACATATCCTAGAAAGAATACAGAGGGTAGGGACCAAATTAATTAGTGGTACCTCACACCTTCCTTATGACAAGAGGATGGAGCATTTAAGTCTCTTTCCATTATCATACCGAAGAAGGAGGAGAGGTGACTTAATTTCGGCACACCGTACATTAAACGATGATTTAGAAATTCATCTTTCACGACAAATAGTTGCTCAGACCTAGGTCGAATAAAATACATCTACAATTTAATTTAGATTCTCTCACAGAATCCTCAACAATTGGAACTCCTTACCTGATTCAGTAGTAACACCTCCATCGGTGAACGCTTTCGAAGAGATTAGATCTCTGCAGAGATATATACTGCAAGGATTAACACAGACTACAAGAGCTTTCTATCTTTATTATCTTGTTTTGAAACATAAGTCTAGCTCAAAGAAACACTCAGTTTCATGAACAACTTTCTGAGAGGAAAGAAACCAGAGGGCAGTTAACAAAGTGAATTTCTTAGCAGGAGTGAACATACAGAAAATTAATGACGACGATCTCCACGACTAGTGGTCATAGTGTTAAAATACGTTTTGAATGAGCTACATAACACAAATGTCGACTTAAAATTGTCGTTTGACACAACGCTGCTACTCTATTATCTCCGAAAAAAAGGAATTTTTGTGTCTCACAAAATGGATCACAATACCAAAGCACAAACTATCTCGGTAAAACAAAATTAAATCGGACAGAATGAAAAATTGTAACACAAAAGCACGATATACTTGCATTTTCAAGAGACTTTAGCACTGATGACACCCGGCTTTTTCTTCTCCTACTTGTTACTGTGACAGGTGGAGTAGACGATGCGTTCGAATCTTCACAACACTTAATGGGTGGTTTAGTATCTTCAGTCTTTTTCACATCAACACGGACACGAGCATCAATTTTCCGGCTGTGGTCTTTATATTCTTGGCCTTAAGAGCGCCTTCCTCTACAGCGGAACTTAGTATAACCGGGTAATATCTGTTGAGTACGTAACAATGTGATTGTACACTTTTTAGGTACTTGTATAAATTCGAGATATTGTACATAATTTTTGTTTAAATCGCTTCTTGTTGAAATATAAATAATTTCCGTGTACCATTGAAAAATACACTCTGCTGTTGGAGACTTCGTCTTCTCCCTGGTCACCTCTACTTGCTTGCTCCACTCACACCGTGTTGTAACTTTGGATTTATTGTAGGAGCCTACTACTTTCATCCGAAGACATTTCTACAACCGGGACACAGCAGCTACAGCAGACGCAGTCCCAACAGTTAACGTGCCTGTGGATTATATAATTAATTTGTAGCCGAGGACTTACACTTTATAACCAAGTAATCCTTTTTGTTGCTATAACTCGTCACTGTATTTTTGGTAATATATTGTGATTTAACACTCCACTGACTTGGATTATTACTTTTATACTTGGAATGTTAGTGAACTCTAATATTAGTCCCCTACAAATTAATTGGTGAGCCCGATAAGAACACGGATTATTTTGGCATATTTATATTCTTATTTTTGCTATTTTTATATTCATTGTGATTTTGTGTGTGGTTTATATTTGTATCCTAATTTGCACCAATAACCTCATATTATAATGTCATCACCTCAGTCCGGTACATCAAACGAGCAGACAACTAATAGCGAGACAAATGCCACAATAAATGCCATCACTGATTTTCGTTTACCCCAATACGGTTTCGCAGAACCAAGGATTTGGTTTGCGGTAATTGAACCGTTGCTAGAAGCACGGGGCATTAAGTCCCAAATAGCCAAATATGGTATGGTGCTGGCAGAACTCCCTCCGTCAGTATTGACAGAAATCAGCGATTTCATCGAAGATCCTCCGACGGAACATCAATTTGATAAACTTAAAGCCCTCCTCATACAACGTACCAGTTTGTCGGATGAGAAAAGAATCCAACAATTGCTCACAGGCTGTGAACTAGGCCCACGTAAACCATCCCAGCTGCTCAGGCACATGCGCCAGTTAATCGGACACCATAAAGTAGACGAGGTAGTGCTGAAACAGATGTGGTTGCAACGTTTACCTAGAAATGTCCAGCAAATTTTAATCATCTCAGGAAAGTCGTATGACTTAGACCAACTAAGTGACATGGCAGATAGTATTTTGGATGTTTTATCCGATAACACCATAAGTCACGTAGCATCTGATAGTGCCACACCGTGTCATTCCACACCCACGGCAGACACACCGATACTCGCCGCCATTGCAGACTTAGCGGCAAGGATTGACAATTTGGAAACTAATAAGTCTGATCGACAAGTCCGGAGACGGACTTCACAAAGAAGGTCACCATCACGACGACGATCCTTCTCACGACAGCGTTCTTACACGTCTTCTCGGGATAGCAATATATGCTGGTATCACTGGAAGTTTGGACGTCATGCCCTGAAATGTGTAAAACCGTGCAGCTTTAGCGAAGCCAACCAGGCTCAGGGAAACGCCTCAGCCAGACAGTGATGGCGACAGCTGTTACTGGCAAGCAAACAAGTCGCCTCTTCTATGTGAAGGATAAAACTTCAGACACTTTATTCCTGGTAGACACGGGAGCAGAAGTTAGCGTAATCCCTCCTTCACTATCCAGGCGATCTACACGGACACCCGGAAAACTGTCTCTCCGGGCAGCTAACCACACAAGCATACAGACGTATGGAGAGCAATCCCTCATACTGGATCTAGGTTTACGTCGGCGTTTCACATGGATTTTCATAGTAGCCGACGTCAGTCACGCCATCCTCGGAGCAGATTTCTTGAGTAATTTCAACCTGTTAGTTGACGTCAACAATAAAAAACTGATTGATAACAACACCCATCTAAAGATCCATGGAATTATCTCCAGCTATTCTGTCTATAATATCAGTATTGAAAGACCAGCAGATTGCCCTTTTTCCTCCCTACTTCACCGTTTCCCTAAAATTCTTAAGCCGTCGTACAACATCGAGGACGTCCCTCACACAGTTACTCACAAGATAGTTACTACGGGTCAACCAGTTCGTGCTCGTCCCCGTAGATTACCCCCGGACAAATTGGCAGCAGCCAAGGCAGAATTTGAACACATGATGCAGCTCGGCATCATCAGACCCTCCAATAGTCCTTGGTCTTCGCCCTTACACATGGTGCCTAAAGCTGATCATGATTGGAGGCCATGTGGGGATTACCGACATTTAAACAATGCCACAGTTCCCGACCGTTATCCTATTCCTCATCTTCATGATTTCTCCCTGACATTACACGGAAAAACCATTTTTTCTAAAGTAGACTTGGTCAGGGCCTATCACCAAATACCAGTTGCCCAAGAGGATATCGAAAAAACAGCCATCATCACACCTTTCGGTTTGTTTGAATTTCTCCGCATGCCATTTGGCCTAAAGAACGCAGCACAATCCTTCCAACGTTTCATGGATCAGGTCACACAAGGTTTGGACTTTGTATTTGTATATATCGATGACGTTTTAATTGCTAGCTCGTCGCCCGAAGAACATACTGATCACCTCACCATCTTATTTCAACGATTTGAGCAATATGGAGTCGTCATTAACCCCAAAAAGTGCATATTCGGTGTCTCCTCTATACAGTTTCTGGGACACCACATAACCACGAATGGTATTACGCCTACGGAGGAAAAGATAGAGTCCATCAAAAACTTCCCCGAACCAGATTCACTCAAGAAGGTCAGACGTTTTTTGGGGATGTTTAATTTCTACCGGCGTTTCATTCCTTCGTGTGCCTCCATCGTCCAGCCGTTAACCGACCTCCTTAAAAATGATCCTAAAAAGTTTCAGTGGTCAGCTGAAGCACGCGAATCATTTTGCAACGCAAAAGATGCCTTATCCAGAGTTACTATGCTATCCCATATCAACCCCGAAGCGTCGCTTATTTTGTGCACAGATGCCTCCCAAGTAGCTGTAGGGGCAGTATTACAACAAAAGATGAAGGGCGAAGTCACCCCACTCGCATTCTTTTCTAAGAAGTTGGAACCGGCTCAGACACGATACAGCACTTTTGGGAGAGAATTGCTGGCCATATATCTTGCAGTGAAGCATTTCAGTTACTTACTACAGGGCCGGCATTTCACTATTTTTACTGACCACAAGCCCCTGTGTCATGCTTTCACTACTTCACTTGATAAACACTCCCCTAGAGAAGCCAGACAGTTGGATTATATCTCCCAATTTTCAACCGACATTCAGTACATCAAAGGGGATGCGAACGTGGTAGCCGATTCTCTTTCAAGAAGTGACATTAACCAGCTCCAAACGTCGGTAGACATCAGTCTTGATCGTATGGCTCAATTACAACGAGATGACGTTGAACTCCAAACCTGCCGCAGAAACTCTTCCTTACAACTCAAAGATGTGCCTATCCCCTTATCAGATGCAACCATAGTCTGCGATGTATCTACCGGCACTAATCGTCCATTTGTCCCTCTCAGTTGCCGAAAAGCATTGTTCGAACATTTACATTCGCTTTCCCACCCTGGAGTACGCGCCACGGTCAGGCTGATCAGCGAACGCTTCGTGTGGCCTAAAATGAACTCTGACATTCGGAGATGGGCACGAGAATGTATCCAATGCCAATGCTCCAAAGTACACCGCCACACTATTACAACCCCGAAGACGTTTAAATTACCCGAAAGGAGATTTCAGCATATCCATATAGATATCGTGGGACCATTGCCAACATCAAGGGGATATACACATATCCTGACAGCGATTGATAGATTTACTCGTTGGGCTATTGCATGCCCCTTAAACGACATATCTGCTGAAAACGTTGCTTTAGTTTTTCTCGACCGTTGGGTGTCAAACTACGGTGTACCAACTACTATTACATCCGACCGCGGTCCTCAATTCCAATCGACACTCTTTCGCGAACTGACGAGACTTCTGGGAGTGAAACATATCTCCACAACAGCCTATCATCCGGCAGCGAATGGTCTAGTGGAAAGATTCCACAGACAACTGAAAAGCTCCCTGATGGCGCAGAATGATACATCTAAGTGGAGTGAATACTTACCTTTGATTTTACTTGGTATCCGTTCTACTATCAAAGAAGATTTAGGATGTACACCGGCTCAACTTGTCTATGGCACCAACCTAACCTTGCCTGGACAGCTAGTCCCCTCAGCCGATTCCACAGACGTGAACATTGCCGACTTCACTAACCGATTAACTAGACAAATGCTTCAACTTCAACCAACAGCACCTCGACAATCTCCCCGAAGAGATCAGATCAACAAACATCTACAAACTTGCAAATTCGTCTTCATTCGAGTCGACGCCATCAGAAAAGGATTGCAACCTCCATACGAAGGACCCTTTCAAGTTATTAAACGTTCAGACAAACACTTTACCGTGAACAAGAATGGAAAACGAGAGACTATTTCCATTGATCGAATCAAACCCGCATACACCGACAACGACTTCGAATCTACATCGGCAACTGCGCAATCAAATAATCAAACATCCGATTCCACTCCACCGGCACCAAGTCTTATCCTCCCTCCATATCAAACACGTAGTGGTCGGCAAATCAGTAAACCGGCTCGCTACGTTCATTTTGAGGACTAACAAAAGAAAAATAATTAAAAATTATTATTATTTTTTTCGTTTAGACATTATCATCATGACCGTTAGTATTTCGTCGTAAACTTTGATGTTACTATCACTATTATTTATTTATATGTACCTCACCGAAAAAACAGGTAGTGTCCTTTCCAAAAACTGCTGATCTTTAATCCATATTTTTTTTAATGTTTCTTTCCCCTCCTTAATTACTGTGTATTTACATATTTTTCTTTATACATTAAAAATCTATGTTCATGGTTAGTGCAAATTTAAGTGACATGACTTTCTATTTCAATTTTTATTGCTGAACTTATTGTATATGCTTTCAGACTTTACATGATTCACATACCTTCTCGCGTTTATGCATGTTGTAATATATCCCTATTTTTATCCAAAAGTTGCTATTACTATTATTACTTACTTCATAGTTTTACGTATCATTTTCCGGTTGTCTCTCCGGACCTCTAGGGGGGAGCCGTGTTGAGTACGTAACAATGTGATTGTACACTTTTTAGGTACTTGTATAAATTCGAGATATTGTACATAATTTTTGTTTAAATCGCTTCTTGTTGAAATATACATAATTTCCGTGTACCATTGAAAAATACACTCTGCTGTTGGAGACTTCGTCTTCTCCCTGGTCACCTCTACTTGCTTGCTCCACTCACACCGTGTTGTAACTTTGGATTTATTGTAGGAGCCTACTACTTTCATCCGAAGACATTTCTACAACCGGAACACAGCAGCTACAGCAGACGCAGTCCAAACAGTTAACGTGCCTGTGGATTATATAATTAATTTGTAGCCGAGGACTTACACTTTATAACCAAGTAATCCTTTTTGTTGCTATAACTCGTCACTGTATTTTTGGTAATATATTGTGATTTAACACTCCACTGACTTGGATTATTACTTTTATACTTGGAATGTTAGTGAACTCTAATATTAGTCCCCTACATATCTCACCTTCTTTCACTTGACCAGGCTTCAGTGTCCGTTCAACGTCCTCCAAGACTTCTGGAGGTGGCAATGACTGTGACTTTAATTCAGACTTTCTTAAAACTTTAACCTTCCCGGATTTTCTGAAAATTACAAGAAGCATCGTGATCAGAAACATTGCTTTACACAAGTTACATCTGTCGCTCTAATTCTTGTTTTTTTGTCAAGCCCTCTTCATTATACTTGAACATTCGTTTTTCAGTCACCCATTCATCCCAGCTATATTAAACCGTAAATTATTACTGAAATATTATTACCTCTTATTCCAACCTAGGTAATGCACATAATATACTACACCATCTTCTTTCACTTTAACGTCTAAGCATTTCGCCTCATACATAAGAGGCCCATGGAAACAAAGTAATTTTTCGCCTTGATGTACGTGATTCTATATAAGAAAACAGTAAGAATCTTACCTTTTTCATATTTCGGATTTAAATCCAAGCTACTCATGGTGACGCAAAATCAATACACGCTCTCTAATGTCCAATATCTAATATCGTTCTTACCAGCTAGTATAAACCAATTTGATTTCTTTGTGCTCGCCTCTTAATTGTGAAGCATAGGTTCCTGATCTTCGGTAAACTTCTCCGTAGCTCGTCCCGCCACTCGACTTTCGTAACTTTGGTTGACTCCAAAAGGAGTAGTACTGGAATTAATTATATGTGGTTTGTAGCATGAGGTGTGTCAAGACTGTTACTACTGTGAATGGAGTTGATCCTTTCACCAGTTAGTCCTCCGGTATCGTTGTCAAAAGAAAAGAGACAATAATAATAAGTGTAGTTAAAGTTGTCAGGAGAGTCAGACGAGAGAGAATGTAAAGAAGTAAAACGACGAACTTAGTTGTCTACCGTTGAATGGTGTATGGGATTTTAAGGGGATAGGTCATTTCGACGCAGTTCTTGTGTCACCGCATGATTTTCCAGCCTTCGCTTAAAGGCATCCACAGACGTTGCCATAGCTACATCTGCCGGTAAGGAATTCCGGGGATGACAAACCCGCAGTGAAAAGAAGTGGGAGCGCACCCGGGTCCTTACCCTCTGGTGAGCTATCCTTCTGGAGTTTCCACGATGAAGCCAATACCTACTTAATGGCAGGACACCTTTGTTTGGGTGATTCCGGTCATTTGTCATTTTTTAGGCAGTGATTAAATCCCCCTAATCCGATGGTGGGGAAGTGTGAATAAGCCTAAGTTCTTTAGCCTTTCATCTGTAGCGGTGAATAATTCCCCAAAATTATTGACCACAGGAATCATCAGCGAACATCGGATCCTGACCCTTAGCGTTTGAGTCGACTTGTTTAGCTGAAGGCTTCTGATCAAGCATCCTCGCCATTTGCTACTCCGTCGTGACACTTTCGTGCGCGATCGCTAGCCAGCTTAGCTTCCGCTTCAGTCCACGATTTGGTCCCAAATATATCTCGTAGTTTGGAAGATCAACTCTGGTCTTTTGCTTTGCCTTCGGTACACGAGAAACGAACACTATACTATAGAAGTTGTTGGTATAAGATCTTGCGTTAGTATACTCCGTACAATTCGCGAACGTCAATACCGTCAACCTCTAAACATCATATTGTTTATTTCGAAGACCAACCACCCCTCTTGTTTCCCCTTCTTCGTATTCTTTCCCAGAAGTTGGTGACTCTTCTAAACATTGGGGGTACAATAATATTATGCACTTCAAAGTATGGTATGACGTATGTTTTGTACAACCGTAGAAAGAGCTCAGGAGTGAGTGCACCTAACTATCTATGCGTAAAGTGTATGACCGCTTGTGTCCACTTTTCCGTTAGAACTAGACTTAAGTCGCGTTCCGACGTTGTGTAGGACAAGCTTTTATTGCACAGGTGTAACTTGCATTCTACAGTCTACAGGTCCGCAACTTCACTACTTTGCACTTTTCAGGTTGAAATTCATGACGCTGGGCACCGCCCAGTCTTCCAGAAGCTTTAGATCTGCTAATAGTCTATCTGAGTCCTCCGGACACTTTATCGCCCTCCATATCTTTGCGTCGTCAGCGTGTAGAAGGGTTGGATAGCTTAGACGGTATAGTAGATCATTGACAAAGGTCAAAAACATCAGTGGTCCTAGGATAGACCCCAGTGACACTCCTGATGACGAGCTGTGTCAAGATGATTTGACCCGATTGACCTCAGTGCAAAATTGCCTTTCAGCCAGACAGTCCTTTAACCATGACAGAAGTGGCTCACCTATACCTACCTGGCTCATTTTGTGTAGGAGAAGGTCATGGTGAACGGTGTCAAACGCCTTCTCAATGTCTAGAAATACCACATGGACTGGAACATTCATATCCCAGTATGATATCCAATCGTCCCAAGCTGATAGTAGGTCTGTTGCGCAGAATCTGCCTGTCCTGAAACCATGTAGGGCTTCATGGAGTATAATAGATCTATCGAGGTATTCCATGATGTGATCGTCGATAATACTTTCCAGTACTTTTGATACCACTGGGAGTAGAGCTACTGGTCTTTGACTAGTGCGTCGGTGGCACAGTGGTTAGGACTCTCGACGACCATGCACATGGTCCGGGGTTCGAGCCCACACCGGTGCACACCAGATATCTATGGTCGGCCTCCGAAATTTGGGCTGCCGATATCCACGCTGAAAATTCCATACTAGTACCAAAAATACAGTGTGGAATCAAGCTGTAACCAAAATTAGAAAATAAATAAAATAGTGGCATTTTGCCTATCCCCACCCTTGAAGATAGGAGGAAGGACGGCTGTTTTTCACTCCCCTATCAGTTTCTCCGAATCCATTCAGTGTTGGAACAGGTCGCATACGGGCCTACAGAGAGCTTCGGCGTACTGTTTCAGAACAGATGGCCTGACGTCGTCACAACCTGAGGACTTCCCAGGTATGAGTCGCTGTAGTTCCCTTAGTACTATTTCCGGGTTCATTTGGGGAGTAGCCACTAGGTCTTCCTCCTGTGAATTAGTAGTCCCACCATTTCGGTCTGAAGCGGCAATACACACATTGCTGTTTAGCTGTTTGGCGAAGGCTAAACTGAATGTTTCAGCCATCTCCAGACTAGCGAGGTATTGACCATTTGGATCTACTAAGGTGCATGCCCTCTGGTTTGTTGGTTTTCTTTCCGACACGAATCAACACAAGTTTTTGGGGTTTGCTAGGAGCTTTTTGGCAAAGTTAGCCTGGAATGACCTCTTGTCACTCCTGACTCTCGCGTTGCACCGGTTCCTGAATTCTGGGTATGCGTCATGGTCTGTACGACTCTTAGATACGCACCACGTAAACCAAGCCTTACGCTTCGCTTGGGGAATACGTTGCGTGCCTCTCTTCAGCTATGATGACTTTCTTCTGGGCTGTGTTGTGGCTAAAGGGAGGGTATCCGAGATTGCTGTATGAATAATCTTTTTTACCACTTCCCAGTGTTCATCCACAGATAGCTGATCCCATGCTAAGGGCCAGTCTGCGTCGGTCAAAAGCCTCCTCATTTCAGCGTAGTCTGTCTTGTTATAGCTCAGACATGTTCGCGTAACTTCCCACAGCAAACGCTCACGGAGAACTAGGTCAAAACCTATGACTGCATGGTCACTACTTCCTAGGGGAGTCATGATCTGGACCCTTTCGACGAGTAGTTGGTCACCAGTTGGAATGTAGTCTAGTTTTGATGACTTTCCACTAGGGCCCCACCTAATGTCGTCTCCAACATCCTCAGTCAGTTCCGTATTTCGAACAGTTTGCAGTGGATTTTGGCCTAATTCGCCCTTAGCACACGTCGAGCTTAGGCTCAATGATGGGTCATTGAAATCTCCAGCTATGGTGATTCGGTCATTGCCAAAGTCCCGTATCCCTGTGATAGTGCTGAGCAGTAGCTGTTTGTGCTCTGCCCCACAGGTGGGAGATCGGTAGATGCCACTCAGTAAGTGTTTGATGTGGCCTACGGTGAAGTGATTCCAAAGGAAATCTGGGAGTTTAATAAGTGGTGGGTCCGTTACGCGCACACATTTAAGTTGCCTGTCAAAGTATACATCAACTCCCCCTCCTTCCTCATTATCCTTGTCTCTCCTGACCAGAACCACGTCACCTATACTGATTTCGTTGTCGGTGATAGTGGGGGGTTAGCGACGTTTCAGTGAGAATGATTATTTTAAGTAGTAGGTCAACCTCACATTGCTACGTAGGCAGCTGACAGTGAGTCTCACCGCCTCATCTGTTTCCTCTGTGTTCACTTGAAGTCCTGTCTTTGCTGGCTTCTTCTCCTGCATACTTGTTGGCTTTCGTCTGCAAGTTTTCGAGCTTGTTTAGCATTGGATATAAATCATCCAAAGAATTCAGGTCAGTAGTTTTCTTTTCGGTCTAGCGTATTCTTGCGTTCTCACTCATCATAGTTTGGCACACAAGCCAGTCTATTAGAATTAAGAATATACTAGCAGTAGATAATTCCCCAGAGTTATTGGCCAGAGCATTCATCACTGAACATTGGATGCTGACCCTCGGTCTTTTAATGGACCTATTTAGCTGGAGACTTCCGGTCAAGCATCCACGCTATTTGCAACGTCATCGTGTCACGTTCGTTTGTGCACAACCCCTGGCTGGTTAAGCAATCATTTAGCACCCCAATCTCGTCCCGAAATATAGTTCACATTTTGGAAGATCAATTCTGATGTTTTGCTTTGCCTTTAGGACGAATTCTACAGAAGTTGTGGGTGTTAGATCTTGCGTTAGTATACTTCGTACTATCCGTTAACGTCAACATCCTCAGCCTCTAATATATCATTGGTGATTGCAAGAAGCCTTGTCTCACTCCCACTTTGATGTCGGAGGCTTCGCTGAGTTCTCTCTCGTGGATTACCTGACATGTGGCATTGTCATATAGCTGTTGAATGGAGTTGGGACACATCTGGAGTGCTGCACGCCATAATGTTGAAGTAGTTTCCAAATTACTTCTCAGTCAACCTTGTCGAAGGCTTTCCCGAAGTCAATAAGTTGTTGAGGTAGAGGTTTGACTTCCCTTTTATGCCCTGTTCGATGGTGATTAGAGTTGAAATTTGATCAGCAAATGATTTGCTCTTCCTGAATTTAGCTTGTTCAGATTGAAGTTCCATATCTAGTGCGTCTTCTGGCCAGCCCAGGATGATGTGAGACGATGTATTTCTTAACGTGCACAAAGCATGATTCTGCGCCAACGCCTACATATGCCCAAGTCATCACTTTTTGGAGGTTTCTCAAGGTGGCCTTCCTTCCAGTCAGTAGGCGCTTTGCTTTCCTTCAAATTATCCTGCAATAGTGGCGTGAAGATATCCCCTGCAGACTCTTCGTTTGTTTTCACTGCTTCAGCACGAATTCCATGTTATCTTGCTGTCTTTACGGACTTCAGTAGCCTGATTTCATCCTAAACTTCTGCTTTTGTTGGAGGATTGGTGTACACTGGCAATTCTGTTCCTGCTGTTGGTGGTACTTCTGGACGATTTGGAAGTGATGTTCAGATCCGGAGTCCTCTTAATGATCTGCTTACTATTTTATTTATCCCTCCTATGTGGTAATCAGGCTTCCTTGACCATCTTTTATTGGTTTCATCTGCGTTTACCTTTACGTGGATACAGATACTTCGATAATACACCTATATTTTTTATATCCTCAAGACTTATATCCGGAAATTGTGAAAATTCTTGTTTCTGCAATGGTTAAGTCTACCAAACTGTTAAGTACCGTTAAGAGACTGAGGTCTAATTCTCGTCGACCATCTGAAGGCCTCAGCTCCGTTGACGATTCCACACTACTTACACCAGAAACACTTAGAGTTATGGTATCTGATGTCATGGGGGAACTGACGGAGAATGCGGCTTGTAGCAAAAATGATTTACTGACAATTCAGAAGTCAGTAGCAGACATACAGAACAAGTTTGACAGCATTATGACCCTCAAGCAACTGTGTGACCGATCACGAAACATCTGTCTACAACCAATCAACAAATCTGGGCGTATAATTGACTATTTGGCTGAAGAAGCTATTAAGAAGATTACGTCTTCCCACAACGTCTTGGCCTGTAACGTTTCAGACAGAGAGCCTATTGCTAAACTTAGAACTTCATGTCTAAAGGCTAGTAATATGTCGCTGACAGAATGTCAGGTTTCGCGTCTTCGTAGGAAATCTGCAAACCACTCATGTCCGGTGCTTTTCAAGTTCAGGCCTATTGAAGAATCCAGGATATTTCTGAAATCTAGTAAGATAATGAGCTCTTAAACACCCTATACTAACATTAGGAATGCACCTGATTTAACATCATAGCAAAGACGATTCCGCTCAGGAACACTGAATGCTAATAACTCCAATGAGGCAACCGTAGATGATGTTCCATGCGTTATTCCGTCTAGTGAAATACCTGGCGACCGCATGCATCAGACATTTTCGCAGGCGCAGACAAATATTAGCCAAGTATTTTATAACGACACTGAAATGTTGGGTATAGATGAGCCCACAGAACATGATGTTGAAATACATAGCTTGAATACTGACACAAGCGTCAAGAGCCAGAAAACATCAAAACTCATGAAACTGGTGTTCCACCCATCCCCTTATAAATCAGTTAATCCTCAATCTGACAATCCGTCCACTGTGAAGTACCAGTCGAATGTAGCTACCCAAGTTAGCAAGTTTTCTAGGCGTTATGACAAACTTCCCATTTCCATTAAGAAAACTAAGGCGCATGAGGTGTCCAAGCCACAGAAACCCTACATAGCATGTGCTGTGTGCCCTGTTAGCCATCATCAACCAGTTGATCATAAAAAAGGAGGAAAAGAAGTAAATAAATTGAATACTAAAGCCAGAGCAAGAAAGCCCTTTGATATGACAGAGACGAAAGCACCTCTAAGCCATTTTTCTAAGAGAAAGTTAAATATGCTAGGCCGAGCTCCTAGAGGTAGGCTTAATTGGTGTCCAGTGGAAGGCCAATTATATCCAACCACTAATTCTAGACAAACAGTACAGCAAGGTAGTAGGTATTATTCTGCTCATCCACTGGGTAAACCCCTTGTTAGTCAGCCCCTTTCTAATGTTTTATCAACTAAAAGCTACAGAAAATCCCCCAAACATCGGCCAGAGACTACATTCAGAGAGCCAAATAAGACAAAAGGACAAACTCTTACATCGTTTGTATCATCTAGTAGGGAGCATGTGCCGATGTCTGTACAAAACTTGCTATGTTCTGATGACTGCGCGAAACAGATGCCAACACTTCATTCTTACACTGAAAACAAATTACCGAATACTCATATCGACTACAACTTTCACAACAACAATGCCCCTTTCAGCCGCTTCGGACAGTATTTTCACAGGACAGGGGGTAGTCAAGCAGCTTAGTAAGTAAACATATCAGATTTCTCTATAGCACTTCCTTGACAGCAGTGATAATATTAATACTGTGTATAATGTCATCCATACGTGCCTGTGGTTCAGCGGTAGGAGGCTCCCCAACCATTTACGTATTCATGTGTTCAGTTTCCGGCCGGCGGGAACCTTCACTTCCCTTAGCCACTTGTAAGTCCGAAAAGGAGAGAAGGTTGAATGTGAGGCTTGCTCAGACTTGAAGCGATATGTCCCACATGGAATGTAAAGGAATAAAATTTGAAAAAAAGATGAATAAAATAATTCCGAGAGAGTAAAAGACGTACCGGAAACAGAACCCTGACCACAACAAGCTGGTTTCGGGAAGAGCAAATCATATACAGATCGAATTACGACTCTACACATCATCATCGAGCAAAGCATAGAATGGCAGTCAAACATCTACTTCACTTTCATCAACTTTAGAAAGACCTGTAACAGAGTTGACTGCGAAGTAAATTGAAAACTAATTCAACAATAGGGGGTGCCCCAAATCTTCATCAACCTCATCTAACAATTATATGAGAATGGCATATGTCAAGTGGTCCACAACTGAAAGCTCAGTGAGTCGTTTGCAGTGAATACGCGAGAAAGACAAAGGTGCTTATTATGATCGATTATGTTCCTCTTTGTGTTGAACTGGATTGTGCGGAACGCTGTGCATGGGGAGCGAGGAGACAGGAATACGCTCTACCACCAATAAGAAGACTCTATAAATTCAGAATTTCGCAAATGATATATGTCTCATGACTTACAGGCGAAAGCCGAAGAACTGGCAGAAGAGGCTTTCAGTGAAGACAGGGCTGTAGTTGAACATCAAGAAGCCGGAAGTGATGAAGATAATCAACCAATAGCAGCAAAAATAGCATCAATAGCATCCTTATCTTATGACTTAAGTGTAGCTGTACTACTCACAGAAATAAACGTTTCTGCATGTAGTTCTCATGAGTTTATTTATACTTACGGTAGAAAATGCTACAGCGTAACCGGTTTTATAATAAATTGTCACACAGTTCATTTACACGCTGTAGTCACAAACAGTTATAAACAGTAGTTATTATTAGTGATCCATAATTATTCTTTGAAAATGCATCAAAGGTGTCAAAAATTATGAAATATTTTTTCTTTTTCTTTGAAAGGAACTTAACGAATACAACAACATGTAAAATTTCGACTATTTTATTCTTGAAGCACGATAGGTTGACATCTGTTTAACTGGAATTGAAGTCAGCTTAGAAGCACTTGATGGCTTGGCAAATTTATCACCGAACTTTCCATGATAATCCATGGGTTCCAGCTTGGTTAATTTGACACGCCCACTGCTGTTACCGACTCCACTGCTAGAATCATGAAGGCGTGTTGGCTTAATTTTTCTGTCGGTGTTTCCACTGACTGTTCTAGATGAATTTGTTTGACGCTCTGTATTTTGTACAATATCTCGACCAGAATTTTTCATTCTGTCAATATTTTCTAGTTTACTCGACCAGTAGTTGTTGTTATCATGAAATTTTTGTGATATCTAGATGAAATTTCAGTAAAATTAAACAGAAGAGTAAAACTTTTAAGTGGAATTTTTCAAGGAAACCAAGAGTGAAAATTGTACTTTGTCAGAGGAAACATAAATGCGTTTTTTATTGATTTCATGAGAACCAAGAAACACAGAATAATGTGAGTAAAATTTCCGTTGTTTGAAAGAAGGAAAATAAGGTAGACCGACTACATTTTGGACCAATTTTAGATTTTTTAAACAGTAGCACCGAATCAATTGCCTAGTGGGATTTACGAAATTCAAATAAACAGCCTAGTTTTAATCAGTTTAGAGTCATTAAACTAACAAATTTAGAATAGTGTAAGTTATACTTGTTTGAATAGGACTGAATATACGTGTAAACAGTTTCCTGCGCAATGTTTACCTAAACTGGACTCTCAGCCAACTGATGGCGATCCATCTAGCATGGTTGTCATATTGCAGACTTGACTGATAGGATGCTGTCGGCACCGAACAGAGGACCAGACGCATGACGCTAGTTACTACCGAGTGTCTGATCAAAGATATTCTTCGTAAACATTCCCACTGACTACAGTTCAGGCCAAGCGGAGCACGAATCCAACCAGAGGCTATGCAACATACTACACAAAGTAAAGCACTCACATGTCGCCATGTCATCAGTCGATTTCAGTGTTCAAGTAGGGAAATCAAGTCATTCGGAAAATTCCACACAAGATATCTACGAAATCTCATGTCAGCGAACTGACCGACAGCTGGAGGTAGTGTGTTTTTCACCCAAATAAGTCTGACTCAAAACACGTCATGTGTGAAACCACACACAAGCAACTGTCTTTTCGACTACACACTTATGTGGAGTGACACTCAATTAGAAAACATCAGTTACTCTAGTACGACTCAACCATCAAACACCTCAACGACCATCAATAACGACCAGTACACTGAAGGCGCCCCCATACCTACTTCTCAAATTAATTCCACTTTGCATTCTGTCGTATTGCCTCCTCAATGTTCCTCCTGTCACTCCACTACTGAATCTACACCACATTCAATTACTTCGAATCAGACCTCCAGTGTATGGAGACGATGACTTCATGTTTAGGTATAGCTGTGGTTCATAGTTTGGCGGATGAAAATTGTTCTGGATAACTGACCTTCGACTAGCTTATTATTCTCAACTGCATCTTATATGTCCAGGTTGATGAATTCACACATTTCACATCCCGAATAGCTGAAAGCCAGTCGTTTTGGTGTTATATTTCTCGACACTTTTAAATGTATTCTATTCTATTGCTGAAGAAACATTGAGAAGTGAGTATTTTGCTAGTAATTTGTAGTCCTTTCGGAGATAAGATGATCAGAAATGCGGGAATTATTTTACTTCGCTTTCAAACGTTTTCTAATTACACCCTACCTTGCCTCTATCTGAACAAGTCCTTTCGAGTGTATATTCATTCGACTTTGTTAGAGTTATTTCTCTTTTACTTCTTTAAGTTCCCAGTGAAACGTGAGACTTCAAGCTAGAGGACTGAAATTTCGGTAGCTTTTCGGTGTTTTATGTTTTACGAGGTTGCTAGCTTCATCAAGTCCAACCTTCCCTCTTTACCAGTCTTATTACTGGCTTAGTGAGGTAAAAGAAAGAGTACGTCAGCCGGGGATCAAATCTCAGACCATATGCATAGTCCGCGTGTCTTCTACAACAATGTCACGTCATTTACACCTGAATTCTTCTCTGTCACGCAAATTTGTCAGCTAATAAACAGCCAGCACGTTTCTTTTCGGATTATATGATGGTAAGCATGTGGTTGCTGTAGGTCACTTGGATATTTGATCTCTTCCGCTTTGATGATGATGATGCGATTTTCCTAGTTTCTACCATTTTTATGGTCAGTACCCTTAAAATTATCGGGTAACTTTCTTTAAACATGGTTTACCCAATATCAGAAGAGAAGTTTATGAATTTTTTCATGCACTGTGTGAATCCAAGCAGTCGGTGAAATCAGTATGAAACTTAAAATTATTGGTTATGGATTCATGTAGAGATCTTCATCATATACATCATCACATTTGCATTCTTTAAAGTATAACAGAGAAAAATATATTAGGCGTCAGTAGGAGGTTGGATTTATATTGTAAGTGTTAGATGGTTGGCGGCAATCGGCAGAATGCCCTACGTGACCTCGTTTTCGTGCTAGTTGGCAATCACCAGTCCGTCAGCTAGGCGTATCTGCAATCTTGAAAGAACTCATATCCCTTCTCAGATTCGAACCAGCATCATCTAGTGCTACCAGCAGTCAGAGACGTCACCAGTGAGCTATTTGGGCTCACGATTGACCTCCTGTATGACTGTAGTCGGTACTTTGATTGGACACTAGTAACTGATGTGACGTGTCTAGTCCTTTCTTTGGTGCAGAATGAATTCTATCAGTCAGGTTTGCATTGTGGCCACCATTCTAGATTGTCGTACTTTATTGCTTTTGTTGCAAGAAAGGAACACTAACTCCATGTCTATCGGCTTTTGATATAAAAGAAAAGTATGTTCTTTCTTGACTTTTTCATACATCTATTAGATATATTAAATTTCCAGTACATGTGGAAGATTAGAATCGCTCTGTTCCATTTATTAACTTCTGGACTTTAGGGAAAATGATGACAGCTTTAATTGGGGAATTTCTTTTATAAACTCACTTAAAAGTTCTTGATACTGTATGTAGCATAACCAGTTTACATCGCCTCTGGCTTAGTAGACGTGATGTCCGGCTGGCTGAATGGCTGGCTAGCTGTCGACCAAGAGACGTGTGTACTGCTCAGAAGAAGTTCGCTCTGTCCTCCTTTATGGTTGACTGTGAGTCACTAGTGACCATTCAGAGTGGAAGACATGAAAAGCCTAGCTAGCTGTCTCCGATCATAGGTGTCTGAGTTCTCTCTCCCGTGTTAGTTGATAGCGGTAATAGAATGAGTAATATTGAGGTTAGGCATCAGTGGAGTGCTAGGTAAGGAGGGGAAATCAACAATAGACGAGGTTGTAAAGTTACACTGATTGAGATGGTTAGGACACGTGTTACGGATGCATTCCTAGCCATCCATTGCCTTCCTAGACCACGCTCAATGTTAGCTGATATGAGATCGATGAGTTTGGAAAGGAGCTAACAAGCCAAAACATGGTTCCTTCAGTCAGTAAAATCCACAACAGTTAGTTTAAGCCATGCATATAGGAAGATGTAGACCTCGTGGTTGGTGTCCTCGGGACGGTAAACACCGATGTCTGGAGACAATTATGATTATGGTTCGAAATCTGTTTTTACTTTCTTCTCTTGCTTTGTGTGTCCTAAGTGAAGTGTGGCGACCCGAACTGCTGCACATCGGTGCAAAGTTCTATGTTGAAAATAGAGAGACAGACAGATGAAGCATAACATGGTGAATAAGTAGAACATGGAAACGTGTTATACTCTAATTGTAATCCTTACCGATTCAATTCTTTCAAGCCAAACCGTTTTTGATTCTTGTTCAACTATACTTTCATCACCATACTCAGGGTATTCATCAGTTTCATCGAAGAATTCTACCTGAAACATAGAGAAACGACGTTGTGGTAAATGATAAGATGCTCGAAAACTGTAAGAAGTGTTATATAGTAAATCAAAGCCATCTTTGATCCAAGTTACTAATATGAGAGGGTCTGGTTAGTCCCTAGCCTAATCACTAGCAGTAAAAAAAGTAATATACCCTAACGCTGAATAGGTTTTAATTGTTAACATAGACTGAAAGCTGAAGCTGAAAAAGACCTGTTAATTTGAAGCTCTCTTTTGCCCTTTTTTAACAATACCGCTGGATTGTCTGAATAGATTGAGATTTCGCTTCAATGCAAAAATTGTTCAAAATTGAATTAATCGGATTACAAGAGAATGGTTAGTGAAAAAAGAATATTCTTTCCAATAACCCACCCTTAATCGTGTTCTACAGTTATATATCCATGCATAATAGTGAATGAATGAATTAGTGTTATTAACAACATTAGTGTTGTCGTTTGAATAACATCGAATCAATCATAATATCAGTGGATTACAGTTCAATAGCATCAAGATAACAATACACACTGAATATCGGAAAATTAGGAAAGATAATAATACATATTCATAATTTGCAATTAATACTGTTCTCTGAGCTGGTTGGTTTAGTTGCGGAGCTTTCGTCGTCCTTCTGGACAGCATTCCCTATCAGCGCAATATTTAGCATAAAGTGAAATGATTTAAATTTCTTCAGGAGTGATATATTTGCGCCTCCCGGTAACCATCTTTACATATGCATTGACAGTTTTCTATTGACTTGGATTTTAAACTTTCTGGTCACCTGATTTACTTTTTATTAGTTGGTACGTTTAGTCTATATTAACGCGTTTGTTGATTGCATTTTCGTTTGAGTACCAGGCTTCTAGGAATTTCCTGGAACTTTTGTTGTTTCCTCTGTTTAAGATTTCGACATTATCCCAATCAAATTGATGTCCGTAATTGTCTATATGCATTGATAGTAAAGAATATATATCGTTTCTTTTCACGGCTGATTTGTGTTCTTGGATTCTAATTCAAAGGGAACGCTCACTTTGGCTGATGTAATGCCTGTTACAGTTCATACAACTTATTTTGTAAATGGTATTAATTTTATCCCCATTTTCTGTTGGACCTTTCAGTTTGCAAAGTATCGAATTAAGCGATTTGACTGGCTTGTGTACTATTATTATTTATTATTATTATATCCTTCAATTCATAGAGGAACATAAAGCTTCAGCCGCCCAAGTCTCCATTGCCTTCTGTTTTCTGACAACATTTTCACTCCGCTCCAAGTCTGCCCACATGCTTTCATCTCCTCCTCACATGACCTCCTCCAAGTCACCCTCACCCATGCATTGACGACCAACTCGCCACCCGCTTCCCTTTCGGCCTGGTTCCACTCGAGCAATGGCTTGTCTAGTGATGTCACTCTCTTGATGGTTTCCTCAGCGTATGGCCAGCCAATCCATCTCCATTTCTTCCTGCCTATTTGTTTCACAGTCGGTTCCTGCTGTGTTGGTTGGTTCGCTGATTGACAGAGATCCCACCCTGTTGGTGATATTTTCTGGCCGGCCATCTGATCTTGAGTGGTATTGAGTGAAGATGACTGTTAATGAAGATCTGTAGGTTGTTTGAGATGCTCTTCATGACGCGCTGGCCAAGTCTCTGATCCGTATAGTGAGTAGCACTGACTGCCTTCACATTGGAGTTGAGAATCCGGATCTTATTTTTGATGCAGTGTGCTGTTGTTCTCCACACAGACTTAAGAGTAATGAAAGGTTGTCTTGCTTTTCCGATTCTGGCTTTGATATCCTCGTCAGTTCCGTCAGCCTGAAGTTGAAACGATGCTTACCATGTAGGTGGGTGGGTAGGTGAAGGAGGTTGTTTCTTTCAGGTTCCTCCCATTTATGCAGGCTGACTGTCGTCTGTTGTTGTTGTTTCTCTTGGTGTTGGGCAGGAATCCTCATCACCTACATCTGTTTTCTCTATGTTCACTTGAAGTCCTATCCTGTCTGGATGCTTCTTGTGCCAGCTTGTTGCTTTCCACTTGCATATCTTCCAGTTTGTGGGAAATCAGACATATATGCCACATCGGCGAAGTCCACATCCTCCAAGTTCTATTTTTGTGTGAGTCCATTTTATGCCTGTTTCCTCATTGGCCGCTAGCTGTCTGTCGCATTATCCAGTCTACTGCAATCAGGAAGATCATTGGCGATAGTAGACAGCCAGCTTGCCTCACTCCCGTCCTCACTTCGAAGGCTTCCGTAAGTTTCCCGTTGTGGATTACTTGGAGGCATGCAGCATTGTCGTACAACTAACTGTTGGATGAGATGTATAATTGTCGATGGGAGCCCTTGGTAGTAGCGAAGTACTTTTCAAAAGACCCCTCGACCGACGCTGTCGAAGGCCTTTTCAAAGTCGATGAAGTTGAGTGAGGTAGAGAGGTGACTGCCATTCCAAGCTTTGTTCAATGATGATCCGTAGTGTGGCGATCCGGCCAATACATGACTTGTTTCTCCTGAATCCAGCTTGTTCCGGTCGGAGTTTTTCATCCAGGTTGGCTTGTTTGATTCTCTCCAGGTTGATGGGGCTTAGTATTTTGCTTGGGATGGACAGGAGCATAATTCCACACCAGTTTTTGCATTGACTTAAGTCTCCTCTATTGGTAGTTTGAATAGGTATCCTTTTTTCCAATCCTCAGGTACCTTGCTCTCTTTCCACACCTTTTCTAGCAATGGGGTCATAAAGTCCGCTGTTGTCTTTGTTCTGCTGGGATTCCATCTGGTCCTGCTGCTTTTCCAGCTTTTAGCACCTTGATTACATTCAGGACTTCTGATTCGTTGGGGGGTGTCGATGTTCACTGGTAGATCTGCTTCCGTTGTTGGTATTGTTGGGCGCGTTGTAGGTGGCGGACGATTTAGAAGTCTTTTCAAGTTTTCAGCCCAGTGTTTTCTTTGTTCCACCTCTTTGGTGATTGACTTTCCATTGTCATCCTTCACTGACTTAATCTGTGTCGAACTTTTGCCGGAAAGGTGCCTAGTTGTTTGGTAGAGTGTGGCGAGGTCTCCTTTGCCTGTAGCTTGTTCTGCTTCACTTGACATGGCTTCATAATATTTTCTTTTGTCTTCCCTGGCGCTCTTCTTCACTCTTTTGTTCAGCGCATTGTAGCTTGCATTCAACTCCTGTTTTTGTTGCTCGTCGGTGCACTGGATAATCTTTTGTTTCACTATCTCTCTCTCTCTTCTATTAGTTTCCAAGTGTCCATAGTGAGCCACTGTTTGTCCTGCATCTTCTTTCTGCCAAGAACTTCCATGCAGGTTTGACTCCACACCGTTTTCAAGTTGTCTCAGTGCTTTTCGACGCCGATCTCTTCGCTAGTGTTGATTTGTGTCTCAGCTTTGTCCCTGATGTTTGCAATGAAGATGTCCTTTGTAGCCTGGTCCTTCAGTTTTTGAGTGTTGAACTTGGCTTGTGGTCTATCTGCAGCTCCTGTTTCCCTGAAAGCTTTTAATTTGATTTGGATTGTCCCTTGTACGAGATAGTGGTCTGAGCCAATGTCTGCTCCCCTTCTTACTTTTGTGTCCAGTAGGCTGCGCCTCCACTTCCTTGAGATTGAGATGAAGTCAATTTGGTTTTTGGTTTGCTCATCTGGTGACACCGATGTAGCCTTGTGGATATCTTTGTGTTTGTATACGCTGTCACCAATCACTAGTTCATTGAAGGCGCAGAAGTCGGCGAAGAGTTCTCCATTTTCATTCATCTCTCCGAGAGCTTCTCTACCCATGATGAGTTCCCTTCCTGTGTTGTCTGGTCCCAGTTTGGCGTTCATGTTTCCCATTAGTATTTTAATGTCACCAGCTACTTTATGATTACCACAATTACATAGTGAAATACCCCAATCTCTTATTTTATTTGCTGTCATTCAATATGCTTTATTCGCACTCCTTAGATAAAGTAGTAGAATCGGGTCGCTTATTGAATATAGCTATGACAATAGGCTTTTATGAATTTACCACTTATATGAGTCGGATTTAATCCCTTTACACCGGTTACAGGTATATTTTTGTATAAATGCGTAATTTAAGGCGTAGCGCTCTTATGACTAATCGCACAAGATATAATTCGAGGCTATTTCAGTACATTAGAATATATGTGTTTAAATACTAGTTCACTTTTCATCCTGCCTTTTGAATGACTCAACAACACACCTTAGAGCATCAATCCTTTTTCATAAAATATTCAGAAGATTAATTCAAACAAAAGTTATTAATACTCTGGTTGACATGGTTTCTGAATAACGTCAATGTCTAAAGTATATGATTAAATGGAAAATTTTATCACGGCAATCTATTCAGCTTATATGAACGACTGACTCACTTTGTGTTTATTATTATTATTATTTCCAGTATCAAATTGAAGTGTATTGGAATACTTTATTTTTGGCATAGACAAATACTCATCTTCAACTTTATTTTTATTTAGTACACTTGAATTTAACATTTTACAGGCATTCTCTACTTCCAATCTTAGATACTGATTAGCTTGTTTAAGCGCTTTCACTCTAGCCTCAACTGAATCAGCTGAGTTCTCAGGGCTGTTAATATCACAGTCGGTGAATTTTTCTTCGTCCTGATCCCCAGGTGAGAAATGAGACGTTTTCACTTGTTCTGAAGATTTCGGTCTACTACTGAAAAAAAAGAAAAGAAAATAACATATGTACTGTTAGTATTTAGTAGTTTTTGGGAGGAAATAATTTATTCATAGTAGATTTATTGTTTCGCTGGGGTTTCCTTTTGATCGTGAGTCATTATTGGCTTAAAATCTGCTAAAAATCATAAGCTACTACTGGTTCATTACTGCGGTACTCTCTACTATTTTAGGACTCGTGAGCTAGATAAACCTGATTGTCAGTGAGTTTGTGTGTGTGTGTGTTGTGTGTGTGCCTGTGTTTCCACTGTGACTCAATTCATTTTTTGTGAGACGAATATGAATTAGAATAATTTTTCTATTCTTGCGATGTCCGACCGAAATATTCGTGGATAATCGATGCGTCTCATTTCGGCATATGATCTCCTTGAAAGGTTTATGAAGTGATGAGTGTTAGGTTCATGTATCAGTGGTGATACTCGGCCGAAATGTGTGTCCTGGAATCCACCAGTGACAAAGATTAGACAGATAATCTTACTATTGTTGATATTTAAACGCAGAAAAATTTTGGTGAAATACGGCGCCAAGATGACTTGCTACGCAATAATAATAAAACAACATAGATTAAAAGTAAAAGTGTAGGTGCAGAGAACGGATAAAGAACTTCATCTGGAAGGAAAACAGTCATACTCAACAACTGCAAACAACATCGGTCAATTATCGTCCGAGAGGGAAGAAAGAAGGAAATTGCAGCACGTTCGCCCTTCACTACGATTCTTGGCCATATCTAATAGCGTTCCGAGTCACCGATTGGAGCTATCTGTCGGACTCCAACTAGGGAGTTGTGACGCACCAACTGATGATAACCTAGCACAAATACCCTTCATCTCACGACGTCATGCCATCGGTCACCTGACCACTTGTCCGCCATTTCCATCCTGTTCCAGGGCTAGCGAACAGAGACCAGCACGGAGGCTTCTAGGATAACATTCGAGGCATATGTCCAACTCCCCGAAGCCAGATGACAACACTCAACAAATATTGATCTCCACTGTGTTCAAACACACACCGCCGGACCTCAGAATTACTCACGCGACGATGCCATCGAACGCAAGCAATCCTACGGAGACAGCAATGATCGAATACGCTGAGCCGCCACACATTTTCAGCTGGGTAAGTCAGGTTTCAGAGGCGTAGAGCAAGACAACCCGCACCGAAGCATTGTGCAATCGACCTCTTACAGACAAGCTAATGTCGCGATGACGCCAGAGGTGGCTCAAGTTGACGTATGCCACGCTTGATTTCATGATACGGTTGGAAATCACATCCGTCATCCCTCCGCCAGCACAAACAGCTATTCAGATACAAAAACTTATCAATAACTTCAAGGGGTTGACCGGCAAGAGTGAGTTCAAGTACAGGCTCTTACCAATCTTGTAACAGTACTTTGCACTTAGACGGCACAAGGCACACACTATACTTACAGATACCCTGCTTACCTTGTGACGAGAGCTGGCTGCAAACAAGCCAAAATTGTAGACAGCAATTTACGTCAATGTTACGTCCCAAATCAGGCTCATGAGAAAAACAATAACAAAGCTTAACTTCGAGAAACACACCAACCAATCTTAGCAGACTCAATGTGTGCAAATACGATTCGGGATATATGACTTAACTTTCTGAGAAATGGTCACAGGCAGTAGAGAATAACCTTCGGCAAGAAAACAACCAATCAGAAGACGCAGCTTCTTCACTGACAGTAATGTACATAAATATCTATAAATACACCTTGATTGTCTCAATAAACAATCTGTTGCCTGGCCCTTGTATTCTGTCGTTACAACCTGACTATATAACACCATTTAAAGAATAGCAATTAGAAGCTGATACATTCTCATTCTTGAACTTTCGGGTGTCAACATAAGACGATGAATAGTAGGTTAGTGTATTAGCTAAAAGCAGTATGGATGGTTAGGTGTTCATTTGTCATTTGTCCTATTTTTGCTTACCATTGATTCAAGAACAACTAAAGGGATATATAACCTGGGAGAACAGGTTTAAGTTAGACGAGGACCTTATATTGATGTTGAAAAGTGTGCTGAAATTACAAGTCCTCTGAAGAGGTCAGTAATAACTTAATGTTTGATAGGATATCTAGATTTGAGACAGAATTCTCCTTCTTTTGACACTTATTCAGTCCTTGAGGTAAGCAAAGTTGACAGCGGTGGTAATATGACCTATTGAATGGTGATAACAAATAAATAACGTTGGTGATTCAGAACTTCCTTGCAACTAATTTATGACATGTTGTAACACCTAGTGCTTGTATACAATTAAACAAAATATTGAAGATTCGGAAATATTTCTGTAGACTTTAATGCACAAAACTGTCTCTCATTTTTGGCTAAAATATTCTAAGTAAACCATATAGTTTTTTCCTGTCTATAATAGAAAAGAATACACTTTTTATACGTTTTAGATAGACCTATTACGACTTATTGGACTTTGCTGAAAAAAAAATTTTCTTCACTGCAACCGTCCTATTTAATTATTTGCATCGATTAAAGATGGTCATTGGAAATTTCAAAAGATTGGACAGCTTCATCATCAGGTATTATGGAATATGTAAAGTTGTAATACTAAATTGAACGTTAATATTACAAAGTAAATGATTATGAATGACAACTAATGTACAGGAATAAAGTCTCATGAGTTATGTTCATATCAACTGCCATTCATATTGATTATAACTACCACAGATGGATGAGTGATCATGTCAAGGACAGGGAGAGATAAAAGGGGTTTTTTGGGGGTTCAAATTTATGTGCGTTTCGTATGTGTGTAAGTTAACAATTACGTTTAAGTAAGAGAACAAAAGGTTAGTTAATGAAACTGTAATGACAAGGGGTAGGGAAATTCATATGTACAGGATGGAGGGCCATAACAGATGGGCTGATCTAAATGATTCGATGTTACTCTTTTTAAAAAAACCACTGGTGTTGTCAATAACAATCATTCTGTCATTATACCTCCCTTGGCCTATTAAGAAATAACCAAATGATGATTTCTACACCACCCCTTTCTTATATTTTCAACCCCTCTCTTATCATTCATTAATCTTATCACATTTTCATTATACACGTGTTTCATTAACTTCCCTTACAATCTCAGTCTAGCATTACTTAATCGGTTCATTTGTTTTTTCTTGGCCTTTATCGACTACTTCGTCTACCTCAAACTTGTTTGTTTAATCATGCTGTTTGTCGTTGTTCTTGTTATCACAGATTGCTTCACTTTTTCATCCTTATGACTGATAAAATTATTATTATTATTAATACAACTGTATAAACTGATGATGGGTCGGTGACATAGCGGTTAGGACGCTCGCCGACCATGGACATGGTCCAGGGTTCGATCACCGGCCGACGAACTCCTTTACCTCGCTAAGCCAGAAATAATGCTGGTAAAGAGGAAATGTTGGGCATGAGGCTAGCAACCCCATCCTGTAAAAATAAACACTGCTAAAGAAACTTCAAGTCACTAGCTTGGATCCCTATGTTCCAGTGGGGAACATGAAGAAAAAAAATAACCTGATGATGAAGTTATCGAAAAGAATATTCTTTGTTCACCAATCAATCGTTTGAGACTTAGTCGCCTTGATATTTAACTTGAAGACAGTGTTGTACAGATAGCATATTTTCTAGGTAACAGATGAATCATATTTACAATCTGTCGCAAAGATTACAAACCTTGTCAGCTGAAGCCTTGGCAATGGTATTCTTTCTTTATATTCCATTTTCTCTGTATTTGTACTTGCGTTTGAGCATTTCTGAACAGCTTGAACCCCAGTTGAAACTTTCTTTGCAGTGGAATCAATTTGTATCCTTTTAGTATATGCAGAAAGAGAAATTTCAGAGTTACAAACTAGTAAAAATCAAAATTTTACATGATTTAGAAAATGACCAAGGTGGCAAACAAACCCCTTGCCTCCTTAACCAATCTTATTACTGGTTTAGAGAGTCAAAGAAATGCGTTGGCCAGGGATCGAACCCCGGACCACATGCGCGTAGTCGGCGAGCATTCTACCGCTTTACCGCCAACGCACAAGAAGTAACTGAAGATATCCACACTGTTGCCACATAAGGAAGGGATGTCGGAAATCCAACGCATGACTGGCATTGTAACCAACATGCCTACTTAGAGACAAGGTGCTTTATAGGTTAAAAGACTCTATCGATTTGATTAGATAAAAATAACTTTTCTATAAAAGTGTCTATGACATCGACTACGTAGATCAGTCCAACAGGTAAGGGTTAGTCAGGTCATCGGAATCATAGGAATGATTGACCTTGAAAAGATAACCAACCTACCTACCAAAACCTCATTAATTACAAGGTGCACACACAGTCGCACAATAGTTTGTTACATATCTAAAGTTCCAATAGGTAATAGAGTTAATTAGTTTGAGGAGCTGGTCACTGAATCTTTGTTCACACCGCATCTGCATCAGAAATGAAATGCAGTATCCACAATAAAGATATGTAGGACATTATTAACAAGAAAATCAAATCATAGGAAACTGTGGATTATATATATATTTTTAAAAATCTGAAAGTTCTATGAGTATGCTTATGTGATTTGGAGTAATAAACTGAGCTGGAAACATCATCAGTAAGACACTTTATCACTATGTGTTTTGTGTATCAAATAAAATTATTCTTTGATGGAAGCACACAACCTCTTGTCATTTAATGTTTCGACCAGATGTGTTTATATGTCGATACACCTAATTTAATGGTGACGTAATTCTGTTAAAAATCAAACTTTGCTGTAACGCACTGTAAGACACACTCATCGCATAATATACTTATCCTCAACATATATTTTAGAGTGTGTGTGTGTGTGTGAATGCACTGAGATAAGCCTAGACTGTCGTCTTTCTTACACAGCTTTCACTTCTTTTCTCTGTACTCTCAGGAATAAGCTTCGTTATCCCAGAATCGTAATAACTATCTAGACTAGTAGCATCCCTCGTAGAAGGTGATGACTTAAGAACAGATCCGACAGCATGAACAAAAAACCTGCAGAATCAAACGACTAGTTATCCAGTAACTCTTGGGTTCCAGTAATCCTCTGTAATGACGACAACAAATATGGGTTGCAATCTGAGATGAGTGAATTGGTAGAAAAACACATTTTTCTAGAAATTTTGCAGCAATTTTATTCTGCCACCGGTAGAAAAACCAGTTTTGTGCGCTTTCAAAAAAATGCTCTCTGCGATTCAAACCCGCATAACCCCGTTGCTGAAGTCAGAGACGTCACAATTGACTCATAACATTGGATACTCCCTGATGACAGTTAGTTGTTAGTTACAGCAAAAGGTCTTTAGCTACACTGTTTCTGAGTTATCCAATGACTTTAAGGTGTCAATGAGATTGTGAAGGCTGAATTTACCAGTTCTTAAGTGAAATTAGTTTTATTTTTGTGTTTGTCCAAATGTTTCTTGATATACAAGCAAACTTCGTTAGTTTCGGGATTTCATCATAAGCTAACATTAGTTAGAGAACCATTGGAAAACCTGGGAGTACTGGACAGCTGTCTCGTCCTGGTTGGAGACTCTTCAGCAGTACTCACCCACTGGGATTTAAACGCAGGACCTTCCGGTTACAAGGCGAGCTCGTATACCATTAAGCCACTGGGACCCGATCCAATGGTCCTTGAATTCTAACTTCTGCCAATTCACGATTGTGTCTAGGACTGTCAACACATTAAGTTTATAAGTTAGTATTAACACTCTGTAAATAAATTGCACAGAGTTTAACGAAGATATTTTTATTTACTTCAGCTTGTCCAATTCCTCTTGAAGTCGGTTATACTCATTTTGTAAATTCTCTCTTGATAATTTCACAGTTTCTAATTCATTGCACAATGTTCTGTTTTTCGATTCAACTGAATCAAGCTTCTGTTTCAATGATTTGTTTTCATCATTTCTCTGAAAGTAGTTAGTGATCGAAAATTTTGAAATTAATATAGCCCAGTATTCATATTACTCATTTGTATAAAGGATAGCACAGCATATACACCTTTAATAATTAACAGATTGATTCCAAACGCTACTTTTGATTTTAAAAAATGAAATTTTAAGCGTGTAATTAATCCTAACCGTCTTCAGCTATTCAAGGATTGACTTATTACCACCAGGTGATAATCTTGTTGACTTGCAATATCTGTCTGTCTGTCTGAATTTAACATAGAACTTGGCACCGAAGTGCACCAGTTCGACTTGACACGTTCCAAATAGCACACAAAGGTAGACAAGAAGATGAGTGAAGAGAATCAATAGAGTATGACAAGTATAAAAGTGAAACAGAATGAATAATGGTAGAAAGGAATATGAAAGATTACAGACACTGAATACATGTGCGCTGGCCATTGACAACGATTTTGAGCCATGTCACCCATTGTCTCCAGCCATTGATTCCTAGAGTCCTGAGGGCCCCAACCCGGAAGTCTGCATCTCCCTACCTGACTCAGTTTAACTGTCAAGGATTTATTTCATGGATTGATGGCATGTTTTTGTTTGGCCACCACTTACCCTTTTCCAACCTGCACCTATGTCAGCTAGTAATGCCCGTCGGGGGAGGCGATGGTTAGGCATGCACACCACGTGACCTAGCCGTCTCAATCTATGTAACTTTAAAGCCTCGTCGATTGATTTTCCCTCTTTCCCCAACACTCTACGCCTAACGTCAACATTACTTACCTTATTATACCACCTAACGTGAGAAAGAGATCGCAGACATCTATGATCGAAAACAGTCAACCTTTTCATGTCTTCAACTCGTATTGGCCATGTTTCAGAGCCATAGACAAGGACGGAGCGAACTGCTGAGCAGTACACACGTCCCTTGGTTGATAGCCGGATGTCACGCCTACGCCAGAGATGGTGTAAGTTAGCGAAAGCAGCTCGAGCTTTTTGGATCCGTGCTGAGATTTCGTGGTCAATCAGTCGGTTGGTGCTGATACAACTTCCCAAATAGGTGAAGTGGTCAACATGTTCTATTGTGGTGAGAGCAGGCTGCTAGCCGATTGGTTGGCACTAATCTACGTTAAGGTCTAGGTCACTAATATGGGCCGTGAGAAAATATGAACAAGCCTGAGTAAACAACCAATCAGAAGCCTGCGTTTGTCTACCTAAACAACCAATCAGATGACGGCGCTTGTCTATAATAATGTAGTTGAAAGATGTATAAAATACGTATTGATTTTCATAATAAAACGATCTGTTGCCTGGCCCTTGTCTTCTGTTGTTACATTTGGTGTCGCTGCCTACCGACAAATGAAAAGCCTATACCCTGCAGTTTTTGATGGAGACATATGGATCTTCGGGCAGGACTTCAAGGCTTCTGCGCAGTTGAGTGGCGTTCAAGATCTGTCAGCGATGGAGCTGCTACTTGGGACGCTGCTGGGAGGTCGGGTGAAAGCAGCATATGAAAGTGTGAGCCGAAGTATGGACGAATGTTCGACAGGGTCAGGCAAACAGTTTCCAAAGTGGGAAGGACCATATATGGTCACTTCGAGATCGGGTTACGCAGACACAGTCGCAATGGCGAACAATGAGAGGCGCGTGAACGTCAGCGAGCTCCAGAAATGGATACAGCGAGACAAGCCAACGATGACGCCTGCACCAAGTAGATCAAGCCGACTTCAGTCGCACGTATTTGACGGGGGGACGAGTGTGGTGAGAGCAGGCTGCTAGCCGATTGGTTGGCACTAATCTACGTTAAGGTCTAGGTCACTAATATGGGCCGTGAGAAAATATGAACAAGCCTGAGTAAACAACCAATCAGAAGCCTGCGTTTGTCTACCTAAACAACCAATCAGATGACTGCGCTTGTCTATAATAATGTAGTTGAAAGATGTATAAAATACGTGTTGATTTTCATAATAAAACGATCTGTTGCCTGGCCCTTGTCTTCTGTTGTTACACTATCACTTCACTCCGTATCACTAAGCTAGGAGTTGACGTGGTCCAGTCCTGTAGCAGCATATTACATTTTGTAGGGGCGAATCGCATGCCATACTTGGAATATGCAGATGATATAGTCCTCCCCGCTTTGTGGGGGAAACGCTGACAAAAAGGCAGAGTCTTCTGAACACCTTGAAGAGCAGCAATCATCGAATGTTTGGCATGAGATTCGTTCGTCCTGTCAAATGTAAGATGGCGCTACAGGGCTGCACTACATAGACTGCTAGCTTTGAAATCGAAAGTGAAGAGGTAGAGCGTGTCGACCGCTTCACTTATATGAGGAGTTGCATCAGCTAGAGTCAACAGGTAGATCGCTGACGAAATCTCAGCACAGATACAGAAGGCTAGTATCGCATATGCCAGTTTACGCCGCCTATGGCTTAGTAGACGTGATGTCCGGCTGGCTGAATGGCTGGCTAGCTGTCGACCAAGAGACGTGTGTACTGCTCAGAAGAAGTTCGCTCTGTCCTCCTTTATGGTTGACTGTGAGTCACTAGTCTCAACTACAGGAAGTCGGAACGGACGAAGATGCCAAATCAAGAATCGGGAAGGCGAGAAACACATCCATCAACCTGAAATCTATCTGGAAATCTTCGTCACTCAGCATCAATAACAAAATTCGGATTTTCAATACAAACGTCAAGTCAGTCAGCTCTTCTATACGGATGAGAGACTTGGTGGGTGGGTCACAAAGAATATTTCCGACAGCCTGTTGCAGACCAAACCTTTATCAACAACTAACTGTCTTGGTTCTATACTGAATGAAGATCAGATGGCTGAGCCGCAAACAATCACCAACAAGAAACTATGGCTGGAACAAACAGAACCAGAACCAATCGCCAACCAAGAAATACG